TTTCCCCCCATTTTGTCACTCATAGTTGAGGTATACCTACGATGAAAATTACAGGCCTCTCATCTTTTTAAGTGAGAGAACTTGCACAATTGGTGGCTGACTAAACACTTTTTTGCCCCACTGTATATGTATTCTGAAAAACATGGGGAAAATTATTGGCGGCCTCAAAATTTCTGAGAATTTTACAACTTTAAACTTGCTTAATTCTGCTGGTATGTGTATTTAGCTTCTGTAGGGATGTTTATTATTGAAATATCCAGTTCCTATCTATCTTGAGATCATTGTTCCTTTGCTTTTTGTTTAGATGTAAAAAATTATTTCTTCAGTGAATTGTGATGTGGAATATTTGCTTTATCTGCCAGATCTCCAGATTATTTTTACGGTTTTCCCAAAGCTTGGTAACTTCCATGCGTTGCGCTTTAACTTGGTTTTTCCATAGCTGTGGAAACGTCATGGAGACTGAAGCTCAACATATGTGGAGAGCAGTCTGTGGTCATGTAATGTTTAAATTCATAATAGTATGTGGGATGTGTCCTTTTTCATGTACGTATGTTATTTTTATAGATGGTGAAGAAGACTAAAACCATGATGAAGAAAGCTCAAAGGAAAATGAATCGATTGGGCAAGAAAGGCGAGGCAGATAGGCATGTCTTTGACCTGAAGCCGAAACATCTATTTTCTGGCAAGAGGAAATCTGGTACGACCCAACGAAGATAAAACAACTCTTAAGAGAGAAATAAGGAAATAATGCCTTTTTTTAACACAAATAAATTTTAAAAAAAGAAGAAAATTGCTTTTTTATGTTAAAGGAAATAGTTCTCTTAGCTGCTGGATTATAGGTTTTCTGTTTTTCAAAGGTCCTACCTTGGCTCATTCTGTCACAGGATTGAGGAAGCAGTAGATTTCTTAAGAGGCTGCAACTCTACTGAGCAACAATTCTGGTTCAGGGATATGGAGCAAATGTTGTTCTGAACGCTTTTAGACAGCCAGCAAAGAGCCAATCCAAACCACATCAGGCCTCCTTCAGTGGATCAGTGGGGACTGGATAAATTATGGGTGTGCAAAGTGGTTCATACACAGAACAGCTGTTTTGGGGTAGCTGATACCGAAATTGAAATATTTTGGTCTGCGTGCAGAAGGAAAAGGCATTTTAATCTGGATGTGAACTGAAACATAGTTCCAGGTAGAAGTGGTTTCAAGGGGTATTAAGAGCCCCAAACCCCCAAGGCTTGACCATGGTGTATGTGTATATTGGCGGCAGCAGGACTGGCAAAGAAGAGGGGCACTGGAAAGATTGGGGGGGGGGGGGAGGCTACTGGACCGCCATGCTGGGGGTCGGGGCCTGAGAGCGGGGAAAAAGGGAACAGATAAATAGGGGGGGAAAAAAACGGTGGGGGGGGGGGGGAGGCTACTGGACCGCCATGCTGGGGGTCGGGGCCTGAGAGCGGGGAAAAAGGGAACAGATAAATAGGGGGGGAAAAAAACGGTGGGGGGGGGGGGGGTAGGCTACTGGACAGCCATGCTGGGAGTCTGTGCCTGAGAGCAGTGAAATAAGGAACAGATACATAGGTGGTGCATAAACAGCTGAGGGGAGGGAGAGAATGGAAGGAGTTAGGAAGATCAGGGATGCTGCATTTAAGCATTAAATACTGAAGTGAGGAAAGATGATGGGAAGTGGGCAGGGCCTCCCATTCCCACTCTTAAAACCATTGTTCCACTATACATACCTCTTTTAGTAATAGGTGATTGTTGGAGTTGTGTCCCTGGCTATGAAAAGGCTACCCTTGCTCTAAGAGTCAATTCTACACAAGAATTAGATAATTAATTAATTAATGGTTAAACTTGTATGCCGCCCATCTCCCCCAACAAGTGACTCTGGGCGGCTCACAATAATAAAAAAGAAAAAAAAACACCAATCCCTTCAACAATGGCTAAAATCCATAAATAATTAAAATAGAAACATACATTCAAAAGAAAAAAAAACACCAATCCCTTCAACAATGGCTAAAATCCATAAATAATTAAAATAGAAACATACATTCAAAAGAAAAAAAAACACCAATCCCTTCAACAATGGCTAAAATCCATAAATAATTAAAATAGAAACATACATTCAAAATGTCCTAAACCCCCCCTGTAAATTTTTAGCCCTAAAACGTTCAAGATGCTGGGGGGGGGGAACCAAACCCATCACCCCACCAGCCATCTCCACAGATGTGAGCCCTCATCCAGCCCCCAGGCCTTCTGGCAAAGCCAGGATTTAACCCCTTTTCCGAAGGCCATGAGGGAGGGGGCACACCAGACTTCGGAGGCAAGATGTTCCATAGGGTGGGAGCCACAGCAGAAAAGGCCCTCTGCCTAGACCCC